AAAATCTCGTTCTTTTTTCCTTAGACATAAGAATTCTATATACACTAAATAATCTTAGAAATTAATTGTTTTTATGTTTACTCATAACATGAAAAAGCTATTGTATGTACCAATACGTGAATGACAAAGTAGATTTCCCCAATTAAATGTATCCCAAGCATGCAGTAGTAAAGTGAAGGCTGTGGAATACAGGTTTGCATGTTTTGTCTAAAGAGAAATGCATAGAAAATGTAGTCACCTTTTCCCCTGAATATAAAATTAAGAACTTTAAAATTCTCATGCCTCCCCTTCCCCCAAAGAAATCTCTGCTTCAGAAGAGTTTATAGAGTATTTAGTCCTATAGGTGCTTAAGTAAGAGGTGGTGGTTTCTCTTTTTTTTGAATGGGAAGAGTGTCAGGTTTCAAAGGCATATTCTGAGCATGTTCATCCGCTCTTGTTCATAAATTACTTCTGGCAGAATAGCAGCCATGTTCCTCGTTTCTGGTTGTCTGCCTTTGCTAGGACTGGGTAATTGTTGAGAGAAGGGGTGATTTCTAACTGGTTGAAATTTTCAAGAATTCAGGTCAACCTTATTTTGAATTAATTGAAATACACAAGTATTTGGCTGAAAACTTTGTAGAGATTCTGACATCACATCAAAAGCCCTTTAGGGGCATAGTTATCAAAGGCCAAAGTTTAGGATTTTAAATCACCACAACTCTTAAATTCAAAAATTAGTCATAAACTTTTATGAAATCATTCATTCTAAGTAGATAACAGAGTTTGGATGAATTTTTTTTCTACATTAACTAAAAAGACAAAGTTCTTTGTATTTCTGTTATGTTTTATGAGATGTACTGTGCTTTCATGTACCTAGTTTTATTTAGTCTCTACAAAGGCACATTTAGGTGGATAGGGGATTTTATACACCACAAGCTGAGTCTTAGGGATTTAGAAGAAAGCCCAGAGTCTAGGGCTAATAAGTTGAGAGACCGAGGCTTGGATCCTATATCTCTTAACTTTGGGCCCCACGTTCTTTCCACAGTGGTGAGAAATCATTTTTCAGGTTTAAAACCTTAATTAAAACAGTAATTACAAAAACTAAGGTATTTTTTAGTATTACAAGAATCATGAAAGACATAATTTTTTTTTTTCCTTTTTTTGTCTTTTTTCATGACCGGCAACGGATCGCAACCCTCAGTGTCGCGCCCGTACCGGGCCGGGACCGGCAACGGGATTGCAATCCTCGGTGTTGTGCCCACACCTCGCTCAGCCAGTGAGCGGCCGGTCTGTATGTGGGATCTGAACCCTCAGCGGGAGCGCCGCCGTGCTCCCAAGCGGCGCACTGTAGCAGTGCGCCACCGGGCCGGCCCGAAAGACATAATTTTTTAAACTAACTGTTAAACAGTCCTTTCTTCTATAATTTCTAGGTATGGTCATCAGACATTAGTTCTCATTTTGCAAATCTGATTTGCTTGTGCCTAGAGTGTTTAAAAACAGAGTATCAGTTTTATAGCTTTGGCCAACTTATGCCTGAATTTATGATCTCTGCCATATCTAATAGCATTCACAAGGTGGCAGTATTTATGAATTTGGAGGGATAAAGCTGGGAGAACAAAGTTCATAGATTTGCATTAAAGAAATTTCAAGAGAAAATTGGATAAGAGATGGCAGGGCCAAGGCTGTGTGGAAATCATTATTTAATTTACAGCTGGTAAGGTTCCTACTGGCTACCCTCAAATTTCTAACTCCATTCCATACCTTTATGCTAAATAAGGAAAAAGAGAATTAAAATACTCTTTTTCATCATTTTATTACTCAATTTCTGTCATTATTCTGTCTTCACTTTTATTTTTATTGCTCTTCTCCTTTTCTACGTGTATGTGTTTGTGTGTGTATATACCTGTGAGTGTGTGTCAGCTTTAAAAATCTCAGTGTCTCTACTCTTTCCTCTAGAGGGAGCATTGTGGTCCAGGAAAATTCAAGAATCTAAAATGAGGAAATATGCTTTTATGCCTCATTCATGTCAGTAATTGAAAAATTCTATGTATTAGAAATACTTCCTTTTTATACGTTACTCAAAATCTAGAGATTTTTAAAGTCTTTATTTTTTCATTTGTGAGAAGAGGATAATTTAAGATACTGTTAGAGACTAGTCATAAAACATTTAAAAACCTCTGAAATTGAAATTTTTGAGAGACTCAGATTATCTTTGATCTTGGTGATGCACCTCTTCTTGCATTCCAGACCATTCCTAACTTAAAACTTGCCTTCAGACATGTCTTCCCATATGAACTTTCATTTTTGATAGTTTATACGAGAACTTACAGCATCGCTCTCCTGTAGAATGTCTTGCAGTGAGGGGAATGTTCTAGAATCTGCTCTTTCCAACATGATAACCACTAGCCACATGTGGCTATTGAGTATTTGAAAAATATGGCTCGTATGACCAAGGAACTGAATTTTTAATTTAATTTTGATATAATAGCCACATAGGCTACTGTCTTGGACAACTCAGGTAGGCTTCAAGCTGCATACTCTCTTTGTGGTTTGCAATAAGCCTGTTCTCAAGTGTTCTCATAGGCTAAGAAAAGGAGGTGGGGTGGGGGGGTTCTGCTTGAACGTTTTGAGTGGTACTTCAAAGTGCAAGTGAATTTCCAAGTACACAATTGATTCGTGGATACCTCCCAGTACTGAACTGTTTTAAGCAGTATAAATACTCATCATTGTTCAGACTGACTTTCTCTAAAGAATCTGTATATCTAAATATATTACAATTTTTTGTTTATGTGTGAACGACACAGCCCCACTAAACCATAAACTATTTTTCTGTTGGTATCTCAGAATGTAGCAAAAATCTAGGCACTCGGTTGGTTTCTCCATAATTGTTGTTGAAATAGTGATAGGTCCTCTGACTTCAGGTTTTTGCTCTCTTTTTCCCTTACTGTTTGTTTCACATGTGTTTTTTTGTCTCTTCAATAGTATCCCTGCAGAAGAGTTGATAAGAAAATTCCATTGTTTATAAGGATGATGACAGGCAAGACAAGATAAGGATAGGTAAAACCATGTTTTTAAAGGATTTTCTAGGTTTTAGTTAGGATAATGTTCAGCTATGAATGATAAAAATCCCAAAATAATAGTGGCTTAAGCAGAGTAGCAGTTAGTTCTCTGTGACGTGGAAGTCGTGGTGGAGCAGCTTACTGGGGGTGGAATGCACAAGGTCAGAGACCCGGGCTCTTTTCTCTTTTTCCTCCACCTCGTCTGACCTTGACCTCATGACATAAGGTAGTGCCATCCACGTTTCTAGGAGCAGATTGGGTGAAAGGAAAACAAATCAGGAGGCCCAGAGTTCACATGCAGAGACAGGTTCCCACAAGTTGCCCCTCTGCGTTTTTCCTTCTGCTCTTTAGTGGACATTTGTCACGTGGTTCTCCTGCAGCTGGGCAGGCTGGGAGATTGTTTTTTTTTTATTCTGGGCAGTGCACACACTCACCTAAAACAATATTGTATGGAAGAGATGGGAAAAGGATCCTGCAGGACAAATAGCTATCTCTGCCACTTAATTGTTAAAGGAATCTTGTGAATAACTGAATTAACAGTGTTTCCTCCTCATTGTGACTTTCAGTTATTCTTATTTCGGTATTTAAATGTTGTTTGTACCATAAAACACCATCCTGTTTTCATTGTAATTCTAAAGCGGTGTTTGGCTTTTGCTTTTTTCTTTATTTCTGTTTTTGTTTTTGTTAAATTGATCTCTATGATCAAATTGTTTCTGCCCTTTAGCTGTCTCTGTGCAACCAGAGACACAGATTTAAAAGATATATTCTACGGAAAAATTTAAGTCAAAAACCAAAATATCAAAACTAGCTCCTGCTGTTATTTCCCAAAGATAGATCATTGAGCTGAAAGGGCTAATTAACTTGAGCTGTTTTTAGCTCCTTGGTTCTTGTTTTTAGAACAACCTTAGCTGGTTGTTTTCAAATGACTACTCTAAATATGCAACCCAACAATCTTCCTGTAACCCTTACTACCTGCTCATTTATTAAGAAATATTAGTTGCACACGTACTGTGGGACAGGCATTGTGCAAAGCACAGGGCTTAAGTGTGCACATGGTCCCAACGAAGGGAAATTAAATGAATGATTAGGTGAGTAGTCGATTGTGGCTCTGATTAATTGTTGTGAAGCCATGTGTGGGGTGCAGTGCCAGTAAGGACCAAGGGAATATCTGTCTGAAGTCCCTACCAGGGGTGGAGAGTGAGTGAGGGCAGCATTTCAGGCAGGGGGACAAAGTGGAGAGATGAGCATGGCAGGTGAGGCTGCACACAGAGGCAGAGCTAGGGCATGGATGCCTTGTAGGTGGTGACAGAGATTGGTGGCTTTAGGACCAAGCAGAGTAAAGCGATCGGGAGGTTATGTAGGAGCGCTGTGGATAAGGTTTCCCCATTGAACTCGTGCATTATACTGCACCCAGTTCAGATGCCACCTTTTCTGTGAAGCTTTTACAGAGGGCCACACTAGTTCAGTGTCCCTTCTCTACATGTTCCCCTACCATGGATTAATAATGTATTGTCATATCTCTGTCACCGCACCTGGACCGTGAGCTCGCATGGGTGGACTCACGCTGCTTCGGCTCCAGCTAAGCCTTCTGCTCCTCTTCTCTGTTCTCCTGTCACATGTCATCATCATGAGCAATTTTACTGCTGTCATCTTTATCCATCCTGACCCTCTGGTGCCCAGCACACAGCGTACAGTAATGTGAGCTGATTCATTGAGAATATCAAGCTGTTTATCAATGCACAGTGTGTCTTTTTTTTTTTTTTTTTTACCCCCATAGAAATGCTGTCATCTGTGCATTTCCTCCTGTTTTGATTCTCCTTGATCATCAGATGTGTTTTTTCCCTCTCACTTTTGACAGATCCTTGAGCAGAGTTCTCTTTTAAACCCTGTGATCTGGCAATAGAAATATTGCCAGTAAATTCATTTATACATCATGTAGCAAGTGATTACTGAGCATGAGGTATTCTCAATCCTGGGAAAATGCAGCAGCGAGCAACGTTCTTTTCGTGGTGCTCATGCTCAGTGGAGAGAACAGCTGGAACAGATGATGGAGTAGGCGGGAGCAGTGCTGCTGAGAAACCAAGGGCATGGAGAGAGACGGCGTAGCGCGAGGCCTGTGCTCTCAGCATCTTGTTTCCTGCCGTTGCTCCTGGAATGTTCTGAGTGCTTCAGATATGTTCTCAGACGAATTGTGTAGGGTCTGGTAGCTCTCTAAGAGGTGAATGAGTACAGCCACCAGTGAGACCCCAAGAGATGTGTTTTTTGTTTGTTTGCTTTGTTTTGTTTTGTTTTTAAAGGAAGGCAGTGGAAAAATTCTTCCAAGCTTGTAAGTTTAAATGACTCTGTTAGTATTTGTTCTTATTTGGTAGCCCGTAGTAACATTTTTTCCTTGCTTTCACTGAAGGCTCTTGAGATCTGTCAGCAGAGAAACTTTGTAGAAGAGACGGTTTATCTTCTGAGTAAGTAGCTTTTATTCATTTTGGTTACCATAAACTAAGAAAGGGGGGGACAGTGCGATGTAAATTGTGTAAGAGTGAACATGGACTTTAGACCAAAGTAACACAGAAGTTCAAGCCTATATTGTATAAGAACCTAATATAAGAAAATAGAAACTTCACAGCGTAATTGACAAGGAAGAGTTATTTAATAAATGCTGTCAAAATAACATATGAGTCAGGCATAATAAACAAATAAAATTGTTAGTTTACACCTCACAACATAGATTCAAATAAATTAGAGATAGGTTGACAAGTTTGTTGTTCATTTTTTTGAACAACAAACTTGTCAACCAAATAAATTAGAGATAGGTTGACAAGTTTGTTGTTCATTTTTTAAAAAGTTATAATCAGCGTATATCACCATCGTATTGGTAGAGAATAATCTTTATTTTTGAAAACCACAGCCTAAATAAGTGGAGGAAATGCAATTGAATCTCAGAGTTTTGGAGAGAAAAGGAGAATTGCTTAATATAATCTAGCTGCCAATGTCCTGGTCTTCAGGTGCCTATTTCTAGCTGTGTTGGAATTTTTGTACCATGCATACTGAGATGCATGACTCGTTATCTTTCACATTCCTCCAAAATGAGCAACGTGCACTGAAGATTTTAGAAGGAAGCTTTATGCAGAAGTACACAGCATGCCAGACAGAGTTCATTTCAGGTGTCGCTGCAGGGTCACTTCCTGCCTACCCTGGCAGGGCGTTTCCTCTTGACACCTTTGCCTCACACGGCACTCACCTGCACTGGCTCCTTTGCCTCTGTGAAAAATCATCCAGATCTCCATTCCCATTTATGCATATGCAAATTCATGGGTGCTCAGCAACAAACCCAGAATTATTCATTTATAGGACCTACCCACCTTAGGAGAAGTGCTTTTGGGTCTTTATTTTGTTACTTGAGCATGTTCTTGGGGTTCTAATCACAACTTCAAGTAGCTCATCAATCTACTAGTTCCACATAGTGTTCCACCCAAGAAATATTCTGGTAGAATAGATCTTTGTCATAATGTCATGTCATCTTAGAAGCAGTAGAGGAATTACAAAGGAAGACATAGTCTGATTTTATAAAAGCTTAAAAATCCTATACACATTAAAAAATATTAAACATTTTTAAAAGACATTGATTGGGAATAATATTTTCAAGAAAGACAAAATGCTATAGAAGGGATATCAAATGGGAAATCATTTTATTCACAAGTCAGCTGTTATCAGTTGATAATGGCTGCTGCCCACAGTGAGAAGGATTCAAGATCCTTCACTAGTTCTTGTGCACGGCAGGGGACAGGTGTAAGGGTCACAGCCCACAGCCAGGCAGTTGCTGTCCCTCCACTGAGTAAGGCTTTCTACATGTACTGTATTAAAAACTCATGGAAATTGTTAAAACCATTAAAATGTGCAAAATATGTAAAGATAATTAGCCAGTAGAAGCATAGTTTGTAAATACTTTTATCTCACGAAGGTTTTTGAAAAGCTTTCCCCTGGACTTAGAAGGAAATGAGGTAGCCCTCTTATAATTGAATTTGCAATTGGCACAAATGTATCAGTAGAGCAATATGCAAAGCCAGCTTAAGAGTAAGGCAGAATGACTCCAAGGCCTTTAAAAGTCTTAACTGTATCTGAGTGTGAAATTATTGACATCCAAAAGAAGAATGTTTTGTCAGAGGAAGGCAAGAGTCTGACAGACCTGGCTTCACATCCCTGCTTTTACCATCCAGTAGCTGTGTGATCTTGGCAAGTTATTAACATTTCTCTTTCCTCTTTTATAAAACAGGAGTGTCAGTAGAACATACCTTACAGGATTATAGTGATAATTAGCTGATGTAATTCATGGGAAGAACTGAAAGGAGTGCTCAGCACAAAGTAAACACCCAACAAATAGGAGATAATTATTTTACTGTGTCATAGGTAGTACATGCTAATGTCACATATGGATATATGCTTTTGTCTTAGCTTTCAAACTGTGTAAATAGTTTAAGAGATATGCTATGTCCTTTTAAAATTTTTATTAAAGTATCCTAAGTGAAGTCTTTCTCACATCCTCATCCCACCTAGGCCGAATGGGTAATAGCCGAAGTGCCCTGAAGATGATTATGGAGGATTTGCATGATGTTGATAAAGCCATCGAATTTGCCAAGGAGCAAGATGACGGAGAACTCTGGGAAGATCTGATTTTATATTCCATCGACAAACCACGTAAGCAGAAAAGCCGTCTGTGATTATAACTTTTTTTTCTCAATATAACCAATTATGTCTAGAGTAAGAATTATCTTGAGATACATTAAGTTAAAAATATGGCAAAGTTTCCACAGTAAAAATAGGCCAGGTGTGTGGTGACGATTGCCAGTACTCCTCTTGTGCAGGAAGCCTGCAGCCTCATCACTTTGCACAGGCCGAATGTCATAAAGAGCAGGTAGTTACACAGCTTATCAGCTGTGTCCCCATGAGGCATATTTTGCCTACTGCAACCTAGTTGAATAAATGTTGACTGGGTTGGGTTGGCTTGGCCTGTTTTTGTTTTTAGTTTGTATACAGGGGTTATTCATTTTGGAAATTTATAGCCCTTACCAGTCTCTTTTTATGGAGAAAGAACTGTCACTGGACATTGACTGTAAGTGGATATCTGCGTTGCAGCACTGAGTTTCTCCTTCCTGCCCCATCTCATCATTTGTTGGCCGTCAGCACTGGACCATTTGCACTGAGTCTCCCATTTTGGAAAGATACAACTGAAGCAGTCACCTCACAGTAACCCAGATCCTCTTTTGCAAATATAGAAATGATTTAGAGACTGGCCATCGTGGTTGACAATCCACCCCCCCCCCCTTTGTTTTTGATAGAGAAGGCTTTATGTTCACCTAACTACATTAATCTGAAATTGACTTAAATGACTTTATTTACTTGAAAATACAGGGATTCTAGTTAATGTGATGGATCTTAAGAGACAATGTGGGTGTGATGGAACGTGTCAAACCTGGGTCTGGCCCAGGTGTGAATTGGGGCTCATTACCTTCTAGCTGCTTGACCCTGGACACATTAGTTAAACATCCCGATTCCCTGTCTGACATGGGGAGACGTGACATTCCTGCCTTCCAGAACAGGGGAGAAAAGTGTGTGGTAGCTGAGCCCTAGTGAGTCCTCAGTGAATGCTAGTTGCCTCTTTGATGTTGCAAACTGTATTTTGAAGGTAAGTCACCATTTGTTCACCGTTTTTAAACTCCTCTCATTGAGTTTCTTCTTTATGTCTTAAGGAAAGCTAGTTCTTGAGAGTTTACAAATTCAAATGATTTTAACACTTACTGTAAAGGATATAATTTTCTCTTTGAGTTACTTTTGGTCTAAAATTGCATTATTTGCAAATAAAATTGGATTATAGCATTGTTTACATGTTAATTGTTTTATGTGGTATTTTGTAGCATTTATTACTGGCTTGTTAAACAACATCGGCACACATGTTGACCCAATTCTACTGATTCACCGTATTAAGGAAGGAATGGAGATTCCCAATTTGAGAGATTCCTTGGTTAAAATTCTGCAGGACTATAATTTGCAAGTAAGTATCCTTTCTTGGACAAATAAGCTTAATAAATGAGTTGATTTACTACTGGATAAACATTTCTAGGATTTATGTTAAGTATCAGTTAAAAACTTTCAGTTTTGATAGTTACATTTTATTTAGGCCTTGATATTTGGAAAACTATTCAAATAGAGAAACTAGAAACATCACCCCTTAAGGAAGCCATCTGATCCATTAACCATCCCCAAATTTCCTCTTCTTGTTGAGCAGGCATTCTTACATTTGTATGGTAACTATAGCATGGCATTAAGGAGGGAGAGAGAATAGTTACAGAGGCTGTTAGATCAAGTCACCCAAACATTTTAGGGAGAGTAAGTATTGTGTCCATTTGAGGGAATAAAAAAATGTTTTTCAAATAGTTGATAATTTTTCTTGAAGCCATTCAGTAAACTATTGCTTGAAACATGTTAAAATAATAGGATTTTACTTAATTTTTGTCTGTTTTCTACAATAGTATGAATTTATTATCCTCATCAGTTCAGAATTTGTGATAAGAACAATGGAACCTATTATTTTTATATAAATCATTAATATTCTAATTATAAAGCATCTTAATCTTTTTCTTAACAGAATGCTACCAATTACTATTTGTTAGGGTGCTGGTAGCTTCTGTAGAACTTGCAAATATTTAAAACACATTTCCTTAAAAATTCAGATTGTTCTTTTTCTAATTCATTTGAAAATGAGTTTTGGTTATAATGGATAAAATTGCTTACCTGGAACAATAAAATTTTGCAGGTAAAGCCAAAAGATAAGATTGTAAGAAGAGGAGAGTTAGGATGACCACTAGCCACTGTGAAGGGTGCAGAGTAGAGGGCCACCTGCTGAACTCAGGGCGACAGGCTTAGGGGAGAGGCAGGCGAAAAGGAGAAGGTGAAGGAAGGTTGATGGCCTTGAGAATACATGCAAGAGATGAAAAGGAACGACAGCGTTGGAGGGACAAGAGGTTGTGGCCTGGGAGTGTGATATTGCCACGTTAAACTTTCTGAGGCAGAGTCACTGTGGACATGTTCAAAAAGTGGGACAAAGATAAAGGTCACTGGAGCAGAATTAGTCGAGAAACTGTGAGGCCACAGCCTTTGCCGAGTCGTCCAGATGGACAGAGAGCAGTGGGGGGAAGAAGGGGCTGGAAGCCAGGCTCCAGCATGCTCGTAGGCTGGGGCGTTAACCCTGCAGCCCACAGGGGACCGTGGCATTCCTGGATAGCATAGCTTTAAAGGAGAAGAGCTTCTTCCCACAGGTGGGGCTGGGAGAGATCAAGGAGCTTTTACTCAGGAGAGCTTTGTGGGAAATTGAGTTCATGGCAGAGAAATTGGTACTCAGTTAAGCCAAAGAAGTGGAGAGCCTGTTCTGCAGAGAGCTTAAAGATGTAGGTATTTATTTCCAGTGGGATTTGGAGGTTTGCAGGTGACCCCGGGGAAAGGTTATTGCAGGAAGAATGAGAAAGGCAAGAAGGAAATAAAAATACGAGAACGCACTAGCAGGTGAGCAGAGGCGCCACGAGGGGCTTGCCTTTGGGTGCCCCACCCTGGGAATGTGGAAAGGCGTCCAGGCAGGGAGGTCACTAGTTCTGGGCTGTGGTGAAAGTGGGTTCGGTTATAGACCTCTGGTGTGAGTGAGCTTGATAACGATCTGGACTTCATTGGCACTTACCATGCCGGCGCATGCCAGGATACACTCGGACTTACAAATCCAGATTTGTTCAGAAGTCATTAAGGTGTGTCTGAGCAACTCTGCTGCTCGGGAGGCGTTCTCCCTGTGACCTTCAGCTGTAGTGCGTGAAGCTTGGCCTCTGTGGTTGCAACAACGTGACTTGCTCTTTGCTCAGCCTC